TCACCATGGAATATTCTACGCCAGTATGAACCGGTCCACTATTATGAAATATATAGTATCAGAAGTTATTCAAATAACCAGTTTTACTAGCTTCATAAGTGGAAATGTGGCCATCTGCAATAACCGAAAGCTAGTGCACTGTGGTAGGGTTACACTGGTTAGATTGTTTTCAGTAAAAACCAATACCACTTTCGGTAGGTAAGATATATGTTATTCCTCCTTAACTGGATATCTTTCCCACAGGACTGTAGAAGTATAAACAAATAGGGTGTCACCTCTCACGAAACCCAGGAAGTTCGAACAACCCACTGGTCTCCTCACAGTGTAGGTGTCAATTTCAGGAAATCAGTATCTTTGATTCAACCGTTAGCTATCACCCATAGAGTAACTTTGAGTTATTAACTGAATGCCCACTTAAGAAGCATGCTGAGGGAGAAGAAATTGTTGGAAAGGAAAATATAAGGGACATCGAAATGATTGCTGCCATACCGGCGAACTAATCAAAAATACCCATCAGGACATAAGAGGGAAAAGAACAAGAAGTTCAGCAAAGATATCTTTTCAGAGATTTCATTCTCAAAAGCAGTACAATCGCATTTATATATAAGTTTCCATGGACACAATTATTTTCTATTTAATTCTACATAGCATCGAGGGAGATAATAATTTTCAACTTGATGTGAATGTTTGAAGGTACGAATAGAGATTACAAGGGGCTTAGAGACAAGGACACATATGATTAGAAAACAGTAACAATGTATGGTAAATTAATATTTGATAACTGGATAATTAATTTTAAAGGACGATAAAAGACGAGAACTATTTTCAACTTGATATGAATTACAAGAGGTTACGAAACAAAATTTGTTCAGGGATAGAACGAATTACAAAAACTGAACAAAATTGGCATGGAAACAAACTTAAAACAACTGATTTTATAACTGGAAATTTTTAAGAACAACTGAATGAAGACAAAGAGGGAAAAATACAAACACGGCGAACAAAATGGAAAAACTGAAGGCTAAGTGAACATACCGAACTAAGTCCACAGTAGTTTTAAAGGCTGGACTGGTTTCTTTTGAACTAACAGCCCCGGCTTTTCGATGGGTATGGCGAGAGCTTCAGCAGTACAAAGAAGTTGGAAACACACTCCTTTTGGTATTTATTTTACTTACTGTGTCAGTTATTGACGAGGCGTTCAGTAATGGCGCTTCTGATTGAACCAGTGCCTCCTTTTTGCAGCCATGCTGGATGATGTTTTCTAACACTTTTTGAGAAGACTTTCATAGAACGAATTGTGTACCTAGCTCCGCACGAGCAGGTGAACTGATATATGCATATTGAAGTCGTCATATGCGGAAGTCTGCCCTTCACGTTGCTCCAAAGCAGTGGGCGGCTAGAGGATATCACTTTTATGGTTGCTGCAGGAATAGTCTTCTTCAGGGAATCGGAGATTATCCTTTTAAGGATATCTGCTTCTGGGTCTCCCCTGAATTACAGGTTCAAATAAGGTGCTTTTTGGAAATTCTGGCGCATTCTCTTTTTGGCTTTGGTTTCATGTTCTTCTCCACGAAACGCGGTGGGTATCCATTTTGAACCAGGATGCTCCTGAGAAATATGAGCTCTTCTTCCAAACAGTCATCGCCACAAATTCTTCTGGTACGGTGGGCTAGCGAGATGATGAGAACCATTTTACGGCTGATAGGTATCCAACTGTAGAAGTTAGTTAATTCGCCGTTCCATGTTGGTTTTCTATGGATAGATGTTTTCAGAGTTCTGTCAGCTCTCCTTATCAATTCGACATCCAAGAATAGAATCTTTAATTCATTTTCAACTCCCATTGTAAATTTTATTGAGGGATGGCAGTTATTAAACTCCTGTAAGATACAACTTAAGTCAGAATCATCCTGAAAAACGATAAAAGTGTCATGACGAATCTTTTGTACTGCAGCAATTTGTCCATTGTTAATTTTAAGATCCCGCTTTCCAGGCTGGCCATGAAGCAGTCTGCCAAAGTGGACCAAGAGGAGAGCCTATAGCAATCCCGTCCTTACTTCCATAGAAGAGGTCGTTGAATGTATGTTATACGTTAAGTGTTTACCTTAATAAAAACTGTTTAAGATATGAGGTTGGTATTCCGATGCTCAGATTTTCGTCATGCATATATTTGCAAAGGAAACAAATTGTTTTTGTGAGTGGCACATTCGTAAATAGAGATTCTACGTCCAGTGATAACATTCGTTTGCCATTTACATTCAAGTCCCCTATGCATTCAATAAATTCAAAAGTACCTCATGGGGAGTACTTACAGAGTTGTTGTCTCACAGGATCTAGGATTTTGGACAACCGTTTGGCATTCGGATGGTAAGGTGATCCCTGCATGTCTAAAATTGGTAATGCTTTGACATACCTGCTTTGTACACCTTTGGTAGACCGTAGAGCAGAGGGATAATGGATCTTGTTGGTCTCAGACGTTATCATCATCAGTTATGAGGCAGTCATCCTTCGTTCTCCTTAAAACATCTTTCAGTTGCTGTTCCACCTGTCCTGTCTTATTCTTCTCATTATCTGGTTTTGAAAATTTAATATCATCAGAGATTAGAGATTTCAGTTTATTGATATACACATCCTTATCCATAAGGACCACTCCCGAACCTTTGACTGGACGTGTAGTGATTAGATCTTCGTTGTTTGTCAAGTCCTTAAGCTGCTGTTTGTGTTCCTTTGTCAAGAGGTGTAGCACTTTAGTTTTTGAGTTGAGGTATTGATTGCAGCAGTCGAATATTGTAAACTTGAAATGTAAGAAATTTGCATTAGGGACATGAGTAACGTCGCTTATTTGATTAACAAGATTTTCGAATTGGACATACGTTCGCAATCTGTTACTGTATAGATTTACGTCACAAAATTTCAACCCTTAAGATAGGGCTCCTAGTTGTAACGTAGACACGCTGTCGGAGGAGTGATTGAAAACAAATTTGTTGTGATCGATGAGAAACTTCTGTACTTCGATGGATTTGTTGCTCCTGTCCAAATCTAGCCTGACATTCCTAGCTCGTTTGCTTTGCACCAAGGCAACATATTCATTAAACGATTCTCTTTCAGTTGATGTTAGTAAGTCGAAAAGATGTCTTTGCTGAACTTTTGTTCTTTTCCCTCTAATCAAAAATGAAGAGAACAGTTAAAGTCGAAATCGAAAGCATTTTGTTGAATGGAAATTCACAAACTTTGTGTACGGAGTTCTTGTTTATTTTGAGGATTCGTCAGAATCCTCAATATACATAAATACTGAATCGCAGTTACTCGTCGTGCATCATACTGCTTAATTTGTGTGCCATCCTGAAGAGTGTCTCTGTTGAAGCTGCGTTGACTGAGTTTACCATATACTCAGAAGCTGAGCCAGTGATCATATTACGTTAGGCATGTCGGAGAATATTCCAAGGTTTATTAGGAAATTGTGCTCCCTGTTCGGCTGATATAGATATCTTCACAGGGGCTAGTAAACATGTAGTCACATGAACTGGCCCATAGCGGCAGTGCATAAAGGACAAATATCGAATATAACTCGGACACTGAAACCATTTTGAACTACAGAAGTGGGTATCTGAGGATTTCTTCCGTCCTCCAAAACATTCCTGACCTTCATCCTCCTAGAACGCGAAATCATATGAATTTAAGCCTCATGCGAATAGCTGCATTGCCAAGTGGACCTCATTGAACACATGCTTGACAGCAGCCCCAGTTGTTTTAACATTCACAAACGTATAACTAGCTATGGACCACTGCAGAACCATCAATTGCAAACAACTTGGTCACAAATTCGGTTTTGAACCATTTCAATACTCTTTGTCCACTGCCCTCATCAATTAGGAGATCAGTCGACGATACCTGTTAATATGGAATGTATATTTTCGAGCTCTTTTGTCGTTTATGTAATATATATTATTACTATTCTGTCAAATACTATGGAAAGGCTATCAAACGATCATAGCCGGACACAGTTTAGTAAATATACGTCATTAATTATAGTTGAAGATGGTTTCAGGAAGGATCGCTCTTGCGATACCGATGCGATGGCAGTTGGGAACAATTTTAGATTATATTATAACCAGAGTACTCCAATTCTTGCTCTGTACCCAGACATAGCGGAGGCCTCTGCTCAATTTCGCGAAATTCTAACTTGGACTGATTTAAAAACGGTAATCAGTAACCAGGCTAAATCTTTAGTGAGAATATTATGTGAAGGCATGGTACAGGGAGGGGGGAAATCGACCACTGTTTAGCTCCACGAGACACTTGATAGTGTCATTCGTAATTATCAAAAGCGATAAGGAGTGCTTGTGGTGATATTGATCAGCTACACTTTACCAGTCCTTGCTTAAAAGAATTCGTCTACGTACCCAATGATTTATTGCTCCACCTAATTTGTAATTACCGATGACAAGATGCAAATTAAAGAGACTTAGTTATTGGGGAAAAAGTGTCCACGTGTGCCTTATATTTGAGGAAAAAAGGTAGAAATTACCCAGGTAAAAGTTCTAGAACTTATCTAATGGGTATGACCTCACTACAGACTCGAGGAATGTGTGTAAAGACAGCACAATGGAATAGCGCAAAATGGTGTTGTAGCAAGTTCGTATAAGTACAAATTAAGACCAAGTCTTTGACATTGGAATATGCACCACAGCGACAACACAAATCTGATTTGATGACTTATGGTCGCAGGGATTGTGGTAATGTCAGATGTTCATGAGGGTTTTATAAAGACCTGGACACTCAGTAGAATATCGGATGACATGCAACGTTAGCCTGTTAATTCCAGAATTATTGCCGTAAACGAAAGATACACGTATTACAGTTAAGAAAAAATGATAGACTTTGGAAATTTTTGATGAAGAGAAACTTCTTCAAAAAGATGAATACGTTTTTGAAAGCATTTGCTTAAAAACTTTTGTTTTCTGAATATTGTTAAAATGTTTCGCTTCACAATGTTTACCGCACCCGGTTAAATTAAAGTTCGTCAAAGTAAGCGTATTTTTTGATACTAATTATTAACGTTTATTTCCATAACAAGTGATTTGTGCTATTTGTTACGCTTAGTGATCGTTGATAAAATTTCCTCAAGATGGTTTTTAGGTGACACTAACCTGAATATCTAGACAAAAGGATGAAGTGTATTGTAGTTTAACTCCTTTGAATTAATTTAATCCGTTATTTTATGCTCCTGAAATTCGGAAAATTGTGAACAGAGTCGCAAAGATGCTTTTCGAACAAATTGCGGTTTGATAACGATAAGAATCAAGTGAATATCAACGTACATTTCCTGGGTCTGATACACTATGCGGAGCATGAGTGAGGTATAAAACCAAGAGTTACTACTGATTACCGGCAAGCATTTACAGATGCATCTAAAAACAAACTTAATAATTACTCTTCAGTACGTTTTTAATTGGGATAATTCTAGAATAGTCCAAATAATTAGGTATTTATGTTATTAAACAATCTAGTTATTCACAACCTTTGGATAAAAAAACTCAGCGTCTGCCATACTTCGGCTTCCAGATATTGTGATTACTTTGAGTAGCGTGCCATTAGGAAACTGAATTTTGGACTCGTCCTAATTATCTATATAGCTTAATGGTATTCCATATATATATATATATATATATATATATATATATACAAATTGGTGATGCCGATAAAAGACTTTAAAACACTGATCATGACTCGATCTTGACTAGTGTTCACGACTCTTATAATTAGTTTTGCAGTTGATTTAAAAACAGTTTATTGTCACCATATTTCACTGTTAATGTCCATAACGTTGTAGTTATATCTAGTTCCGAAGGCCGAGTAGTAACATCTCTAAGTGCAGGACCGGATAACACAGATTTAAACCACTGAGAGAACATCAGTTTCTTTGAAGTTGCATATATGTAGTGGAAATGTGGGTCTGGGATACAGTTCATGTTCCACCTACTTCAGCCTAGGCAACTGGGTAGTATTATGAGCTCTTGCACGACAGTATGGCTCAGTCGGCTGCATCAGAAATCTTTTGCGGAGAACTGAGGTTTGATAGTAAGTAGTTGTTTTTATAGTAACTACGTAAGCAGTGATAACATGTAGGTTTAAATGTGCATTTGTATCTCAGTGACTGTCTGAGACGCAAAGCAAATAACGTATCAGAGTTGGTCTCAGTGATACGTCTAAATCTTATATTTAAAGATAAACTAGGTAAATAGTCATCAGGTTGTGTTAATTTTGATTAGAATGTTTCGTATTCGACGTTTTGTGAAAACTGTGTTAGTGACACTTAAAAGCACGAGGAACTAACTGGAATACTGAAAATGTAGTTCCAATGTAGTAATCATTGATGACCGAACTTGTTTTGACTAGTCTTAGTAGCACTGAAGACTTCACGGTATACACTTCTGGTTGGGGAGTAGTTGTAAACCGTACACATGAAGCTCTGGCGCTAAAGGTAAACTCGAGTTTTTTCCACTAGTCAGCGAGTAGGGAAATAATGGTTTGCTGGTAAAGTATACTCTTTTACTCACGCATAAAAGAACAGCTTAATCAACCTGCATATTTTTTTTGCTTTTCCAGGTTCCTCCCAAGATAACTGTTGATGGGTTCTATTCACTCACTAATAGATGCTCCAGGAGGCTATTCCATTCTTCAAAAAAATTCAGAAACCCGTCACTGTCGCTTTTGTGGATCTGCTTATAATGATATTTGCACAAAAAGTGTAGTTAATGCTTCAGGTTTGGAAATTCACCATCCTGCCGAACTCTGTGGTATTTGGCTTGGAAAGTTATACTTAAATCAGATTGGAAACCTTCGTTTGCATGGGGATTTTCGAGCATCATCTATATCTCCTTTACATTGTACAGAAACTGATGGCAATTTTGAACCAATTCAGTCACCATTAATCACACTACCGAAAAGATCTTGTCCTCCAACAAAATCTCATGTTGCAACATTGCTTCGGCATACTGACACTTCGAAATTCCAATCAACTTTAAGAGAAGAGTTTTTTTCTACAATGGACGTCAACAACCTCAGTACAACTCAATACGCTGAATTAGAAGGGTGTCGTATTAACGGGTGTTTGTTTGTTGAACATGGGAATTTGGTTTTCCAGGCTGTTAATAAGCGATCACGTATCCCATTTCTACTTATCGACCAGCAAATGGCTGGATCCACTAGTGAATGTGCTTCATCAACAGTTCATAGTAAGTTTACTTTTGTTTCATTTTGTTCATTCCGAGTAAAATATAAGTCTTCAAACTTTGAGATTTCGGTAGTTTTCACAATATGAGACTGCTGCCGTCACACTCAACTTTAAGCTTTTTCCGGGCTTACTATTGGTTAGGCGTGTTTTATGAGTGTGTCGACAGGGAATTGAACACACGCTTCTTGCGCAGCTGGCTAGCGTTTTGCCATTATACCGTAGACGCACAATTCCCACTGTTACCGAACAAATTTGCTTTCTGATTCCGTTACATCGCTACGTTTAAATATCAAGAGAGATTTGCCTAGTGGTAGTTACCCTCATACTAGCAAAATACGTAGTAATCATGTCAATTAAAGTTCATCATAGGTTCAGTAACTAGGCTATTGAGTTTATAATTGTACAAATAAACCTTTCAGTTTTTGTTTTGGACTTAAAATGTAAACCATCAATTTCTATAAACTCTCAATGTTCTCTAGTTGGTGTAGTTGGCTAGAATTCAGTTACTCTGAACAAATGTTTTTCACATACCAGGGTATACGCCACACTGATTGTTTGTGACAGTGATTTACCCAAGCTTAAGTAGGTGGAATAGGAATCGAACTTAAGCTCCAATGACTGGATGTTGTTTGCTGCTTAATGAGTCAATGAGTCTCATCTCCACCCAATATTCTCTACCTCTGTCTAGGTTTAATTCCAAATTCTTGTATTTTTTTGTCGTTTTCAACTACTGTTAATCAGATATACATTTTGTAACGGTTTTCCACACAAATTATACGTGTATGTATATAAGAAATAAATAAAATTGTCTTATTTGCGATGAATGCCAACTAGAATGACCTCTGATTTCAGTCTCTGTGGGAGTATACAATTTGCAGATGTTGCAGGCTCATAATTTTCTGATGAGTGTCAACATTGAATAAATTGGGTGTTCATGCGTGGCGTTGGTGGTTCAGTGCTAGAATGCTCGCCAACTATGCACGTGGTCCGGGGTTCGATTCCCGACCGACTCACTCCTAAAGCTCGCTAACCGATATTAGTTCCGGTAAGGAGGAAAGGTTGAGCGTAAGCCTTGCAACCTCAAGCTGTAAAAGACAACACCACCGCTACTGAAACTTCAAAACTCAAGCTTGAAGCCGTGTATCCCACTTGGAATGCAGAGAAATTAAATAAATAAATGAGGTGTTTTTGCAGGCTGATTCTGTCTAACGCCAGATAATAAGTTATATACAGTTCGAATTCGACGGACTGATAATCATTCTTCTCAAGAGAAAAGATGTATGGAAATGGAGCACTCTTTTCTTATGATTACGCGATAATAGTAGTGGGGAGGTGGTTTATTGGTCTAGGCGCTCGATTTCAAACCAACTAAGCAATGGGTTCAAATGCTGCTCCACCTTCAGACGTTTGAGCAGTTATATAATGTCATCAGCTCTCACACAATAGGTATGGGTCATTGCCAACTGCTTGAAAAATACGTGAATGGTTGTTGGGTGAGCAGCACACAAATTAATAGTAATGTTTCACCCATTCAGAAGTTTGCTCCAAGCATCCAAGTTGTAAGAGTAGTACAACTTAGCCTGGTAACCTGAAGGTCCTGGATCCGATCATCCGTGGCGTCGTAAGTGCGTACTGCTGGGGAGTCCCAAACCAGCATGAAACACTTGTCCAATATCCCCACTGGTTTTCACTGATTTTCTAACTGACGTCAGTCGCTGATCAGACTTGAAACAAATCAAATCTCTACAAACTAACTCTAATGCATTTTACCACTTCATTGCCAGTAAATGAATCAATTAAGTTATGCCGTGTATCTCCATATTTTCTTGTGTATATACAGGCAATTCTAAAACATATAGCATAGATCAAAATTCAATGCCAATTTGTTCATCTCTTGACAATGGTTCTCGTTCAGTTAATCTTGGTCGAATAGGACAGAAATGTTCAACTACAACACATGGAGATAATCATTATGGATTAACAAACAAGTAAGTTATAGATATGTGTGCATAATGTGTTTGTGTAAATACGGCTTTAAAATATTCCCTAACTCTTAAGACGCTTCTCCATGCCTATATATATAACCACTAAGACTGAAGCAGAACTGTGGTTAGTTACAGTATTAGCTTTACTCTGAACAATATTGATATAATGTACAGAATTTTCAGTGGAGTTTATTACACGATATTTTCTCTTCCTCCAGGATCTTAAAATAAAAGATTAATTGACAGTAGATCTTGTGACACAATTCTATCTTGACCGGAAGCTCAAACCAATCCATTATATGACATCTCTTCTTTTTCTTTCTCGAGATACACACGACATTTTGTTGAATGCCGATTATCAAAAGTTCAGAAGTCCATTTTGTAAACCAAGAACATCCCTCTCAGGAACGGTCGTCTGTTGTACTGGGATAAGCTGTCATCGAGGATAATGCTTATTTTCATGTTTAGTGGAAACGTGCATCTAGGGTGCCGACTTTTATCCACTAGTCATAGGTATGAACGCTTTTCCACATATTGAGGTTCTTTGTCTAAAACGTTTAGAAATGAATGCCATGTTCAATAGGGCTTAGAAGATTTTGAGTAGAAGATGAACAGAAAAGCATGGTGTTATGCTTATGGAAGTTTTTGAACCTTTATTACTTCTTTGTTATCCACACTGTGCATGTTGATTTCTTCATTTATGTGGAAGAGAAAGAATATTATTGTAGTGTGACCACAAAGCCCCCCGGATAATACCTTGAGGTCAATCAACATATAGCATGTTTGGAGTTGTGGTCGTACGTAGAATTCACCACCAATTACGGCCTGCTTCAGGGTAAGTTGAAATTTAAAACTGTCTGGGTCAACTCTTTTTAATCCCTACTCTCCAGAGGGAGAAGACAGGATAGATAGCTTACTGGTTGCTCGAGGAAAACACTTTATTACTGTGACACTCCTATTTGCCAATGATATGAATTCTCCCCTCCAGTATAATGTAAACCAACCACACTATGATTACTTTCAGTGTCCGAGCGACCTTTCTGGTACGATGGACACCCTGCAGGAACATTCGTTCAAACCAGTATAATTCTTTGCATCATTGTGATATGCAAGTCTGACCATCGCTTCAGGGTAGCAACTATCGCTGGAGTTAAATGATCTCGGTAGATTTTTTTTAGCATGGATGGATATATTAATTACTGTACGATAACTGATCCATACACCTAGTTTAGTCCAAGTGACTTAATCACCCTTAGGTTTCGAGTGGAACATGGAGTTTCAAAAGAGCATCTCCATATTATCCTGTTCTCTGCAGTCCTTTTTGCCTGGTCCTACAACTGCCCATAAGCCTTCATTTCCTGTTCACACGGTCTCCTCCATGTCGACTTCGGACCCAGGCCCAACTCGTCGTTTCCGATTTGGGTACCACTCGAGCCATGGTCTGGCATGCAGTATCACTCAATGTTCATCTCAGCATATGTCAAATCCATCTCCATTTCTTTCTAGATATTTGTCGGGCGTAGATTTTTGTGATTCCTGATTGGTTCATTGCTAAATTCCCTCGTCGCTTTTCCTTGCTGGTTATTTGATCGTCAGCATGGAGTCAAGACAGCCGGTTGATAGAAGTCTGCAGTAGCCTGTTGGAAATGGTTTTGATGAATCACTAAGTCTCTGAAACCGCATAGAAGCGCTTAGCGAATATAGACCTAATTCTCCAAGTTAAAATCTGTTCCTTCAAAATATGTACCAATATGTAGAAATAGTAGGTCAAGGGTTTCACTCACAATCAATTCATCAAACATTTTAGCCTTATCAGTAGTTGTATTTTATTTGTTTATTTGAATTATCAGTGAAATTTGTTGCTATCATTCTATAATTCATGGTGTTTGATCCTTTTTTTAATAGATGCCCTGAAGATACTAAACCGCGTCTTCCACCGCCGCCTTTAAGACTATCCTGGCCGTTAGTTACACTGCGCCGTTTTGGTTTCTATGGGAATAGTTTATTTAAAGTGGAAACAGGCAGACGAGCTCCACGTGGTGAAGGACTTTATCTATTTCGTATTAAACATTTGAGAGAATTTAAGAAATCCTTTGAGGTTAGTTAGTTTTTGTCTTTTTTTAATTATTCTGTTTGCCATGATATGACATTTTTAGAAGTACCACCTTAAAATGAATGAGACATCATCATTCTAGTAGTAGAAGTTGATTTCTGGTTTCAAACAGTTTTGCATTTCTGTTTATCTTTTCCATTATTCTTCTATTTTTTGTTATATGATTCATAATGATACTTCTTTGTTTAAGTTCAGGAGAGGGACACTTTCAGTTTTGATTATGTAAGGACATATGAAGTATTTTCATGTGTTGGTTTGCCTGGTATTCGGTTGGTTTCAAGTTATCTTACGAACCGACTTCAATTAGGGAACCAAGGAGTACTGCACATATGTTTCATCCTAGTTTCGGACTGACTTTTCATTAGTACGCACTCACGTCCTTATCGTAAGGGATCTATTTTAGGACATTTGGGTCATAAGGCGAGCCAGCTGACCATTCACTTACTGGGGGAAAAATCCAGTCACCCATGAATTCTAATCTAATCTAATCTTGACTAGGCAAAAAATCAGGGGTGTTCACCAAACTGGTTGTAAGGACTAGAACTCACAGATGAAATTGTCTCCTGTTTGAGCTACGTGTTGCAAGTTGGTAGAAGTTAGAATTCATGGACCATTGGATTTTCTCCCCGTGACTGAATGGTCAACAGGCTTGCCTCATGAATTCATGGTTTTGGGTTTGATTCTAGGTAGGATAACGGTTGCGTACTGATGAAGAGTTACAAATTAAGATGAGACAGCTGTCCAGTACTCAATGGTTTTCAATGATTCTCTGACTGAAGTCAGTCCATGATTTAAATCGAAATATGTCCTATGTAGATTATTATTATTATTGTTTCCTTTAATTCCTAGAAGAACATAGGGCTTCAGCCTTGCGTCTCCATTGCGTTCGGTTCTCTGCTAGAGTCTTCACCTGGCTCCAAATCTGCCCACATGCTTTCATCTCCTCTTCACATGACCTTCTCCGTGTCCCCTCGCACTGACGACCAACTCACCGCTTCCCTTTCGGTCTCCACTCGAACGATGGCTTGTCTAGTAATAACACTTAATGGTTTCCTCAGAGTATGGCCAATCCACCTCTATTTCTTCCTGCCTATTTGTTTCACAATCGGTTCCTGGTTGGTTTGCTCCCACGGGTCCCTATTGCTGATCTTTTCTGGCCATCTGATCTTGAATAGTATTGAGTGAAGACAACTGTTAATGAAGGTCTGTAGTTTGTTTGAGATGCTCTTTATGACGCGCCAGGTCTCTGATCCGTATAGTAGCACTGACTTCACATTGAAGTTGAAAATCCGGATCTTATTTTTGATGCTGAGTGCTGCTGACCTCCACACAGACTTGAGAGTAACGAAAGCTTGTCTTGCTTTTCCGATTCTTGCTTTGATATCCTCGTCAGTTCCGCCTGTAGTTGAAACGATGCTTCCCAGGTAGGTAAAGGAGGTTGTTTCTTTCAGCTTCCTCCCATTTATGCTGATCGTTGTCTGTTGTTGGTGGTGTTGGTGTTGTCCAGGAATCTTCATCACCTCTGTTTTCTCTATGTTCACCTGAAGTCCTATCTTTGATGCTTCTTCTGAAGTGTAAATTATTATTGATGGAAAATACAATGATACGCATTTATCAACTCTTTATTCTTCTTGTAAAATGACTACTATGCTGGTTACTGAATATATTACAGGTCACTTAGGATGTGAGATGGGTTTTGAGGCGTGACACTACTAAACTACATTTTCTTACTAACTAAGATTATGTCTGAGTGCTGTGTAAAGTTGTAATTGAACTCGCTATCCATTTATAACAATCAAATAACTTTTCTCAAGTTTTTGAAATATGATGATTGACTGTGTGTATATTTTCAGAAATTCTTAGCTTAGTTGTAGGATAAAGATGTTAAAGAACTGGATAACTGCACAGAAAAAGTGAAGTAGTTCAAGTTGCTACACTCTGGACAGCGCACAGAAGTAGAGGGAAAGACACATAAGTGTGTGGGAAAATGAATAAGTACACAGGGAACAATCAGATCAGAAAGAATGAATGAACTCCTCTGCGGCATTGAGAAGAACAATTTCGAGTCATATCGTCATCAGTCTCATCCATTTGTTTTTAGTTTCCAAAGAATCTCAACCAGACAGTCTACACCTCCTTAGGTAGCTTAGCGCAACAGACAAAGACTTCTAACTTGACTACACCTTTTTTCTCTGCGTCGGTGGCACAGCGGTAGAGTGCTTACCGACCACCCATGTAGTTTGAGGTTTAGTGTCCGGCCAACGTACTCGTTCACCTCGCTAAGCCAGTAATAAGACTGGTAAAAAGGGAAGGTTGGGCATGAGGCTACTAACCGCATTCTGTAAAAATAAACACCACTGATACCGAAATCTCAAGCCTTTAGCATTAAGGCCTATGCTCCACTGAGAACGTGAAGGGATAAAAAATATTACGCAATTTAAAACACGATCAATTTGTAAACGTGAATCATGGTCATTTATTTGAATTTTAGATTTTCCCGTCGATTGAATGGACTGAAATGCTAGGTCTCAGGTTGATATATCGGCTTCTTGTGCAGATGCTGCGACAATGTCTGGGCATCTAATTCGAATTCAATTGGTGTATGGTGACTAGCAGTGGAATCCAGGATAAAGCGCATTTCGTCCTATTCGGGACTCGTCATCTGGATGTGCCTGCATTCCCCCAGTGAGTGAAACTATGGGCACTGGGTACCAAGCCTTGGTGGGAACATGTTCACTCACTGGGGAATGCAGGCACATCCAGATGACGAGTCCCAAATAGGACGAAATGCGCGTTATCCTGGTCACCATCCACCAATTAAATTGTAGTGACTCATGGTCATTTACAATAGGTGTTCGAATTTGCGTTTCATACCATTAATCAGTAAAGTTAAGTTTCATGGAAGTGTTGTGTGGATCATTGATTTCTTCAGTACTTTGACTTTTAGCCAATAGATACCGATCCAACCTATTTCAGCCTAGACAACCGGGTGTTTTGTTATCAGCTTTCACAGACTAGGAATATGGCTCGCACAGCCTGGTAGACATTAAAAAAGAAACATCTGTTTTTGGATAAATGAATTCCAACTGACAATCTGTGATTCACAAGAGTCTATGCATACAACATGGTTTTTATTCTGACTTCTTGTGTTCTAAATGGAATATAAGGCTTCAAGCTTTGAGAGTTAAAGCTTCAGTAGCTGTGGTGTTCAATTTTTTGTTTTGACAGAGTTGGCGGGTTGTTAGCTTGCTCACACTGTGCCACCTCCCCTCTTTTCTGAACTTACTACCAAATAGTGATTTAAATGGGATAAGGCAGTGGAGCTGCGTTCTCATGGTTGCCTTTGACCAAGACAGGCTCATCGTATGCCATTCGATTCGTTTGGGTTCTGGAGCTCATGTACACCATACGACTGGAATCAAGGTTCTCTAGCTCCCCGTATAAGAGGGGAGTCATAAGCGTTATAAGCGCCAGATTTTCGCATTCGTCTTTACATTTTTGTGAGTAACATCTCAGCAACTCATGAAGGCAGTGAATATGACTTACCTGGCAGAGGTAGGCTATGAACGTGTGACCACATGAGGGGGCTTTTCGTGAGGAAGGTCGAAGTCTACCACCTACCCTTGGCGCGCCTATACCAGGTTGTTTATGGGAGCTGTTTAAAAATTGTGAAGAGAAAATATACTTTGTTTTTCGTCTAAAATTCTTTTATACATACATACCTATTTTATAAATTATGAAATTAATACTTCTGAAGGAAAAGAACGAATAGTGGATATCCTGCATTTCCCACTGGGACATGTATAATTCTACACACGCAACACATATGCAATTTACAGAAGAATTTCTCATATCATTTCTTTGATTATTTTTTCTGGTTCCCTGGAGTTTTTTTCCCAAATAGTTCTGTGTGTTTGTGTGTAGCATACTGGGAAATATGTATATTGATAGGGTCGGTTACGTAATACAAGCAGGAAATCACCCAAATTATGTGTGTTGTGTGAGTTGTGTGTGTGTGTATACATCAAATGAAAACGATCTCTAACCTACTCCGCTTTTTACAGTTCTTTGTAACTCACAATTAGAAATAAGACGAATAGTTGAAACCTATTGGAATACTTTAAGGAAAAGTTAAAGAATTTAAACCTTTGAAATTGGCGGTAAAATTAGGTTAGAAAATTGATTGAAGTTGATTCCAAATAAACAGAGTACTTCCAATCCCACTGGCTGATAGCTATGCTAGTATTATTTGTGTTAACTGTCTCTGTCAATAACCATAAGCATTTTGTTGAAGTTGTCAATAAACCACACGTAATTATATTGAGTCAATACTAATGTGCCAGGTCAGTGAATCTACATGGTTCAGAGACTTAGCGTGTCACCCACCAAAAGTATCCCGAAGAGGCTACTGTAGACTGTTATCAACAGTTGCCTTTTCTGGCTCCATACCGAAGATCGAATGACTGGCCGAAAGGGCTTAGCAAGAAGGAACTCTGTCAGGTGATGAAACAACCAAAAACCAAAAAAATACTGAAGATAGAGGATGATGGGACACGTGGTGTGGGTGGAGAACATTGAGTGAAATTTTGCGCTAGGCAGGCCCCCAAGTGGAACTCGAATAGAAGACGATGAGTTAGGCCTAGGCCCGAAGATGACACTGGCGAGATTGTGTGAACAGGGAAGGAATGATTGCTTATGGGCGGTTGTGGGGTCAGCTATAAAAAACTGCAGAGAACATGGTGAAATGGAGATATTGTGTTGAGGTTCTATGTTCCACTCGAAACTTAAGGGGATAACAATAATAATAATAATGTCAAGGCTAATAATATTTACTACCATGCTGGTAGGTAGAGTGGGTTTCGAACCTGTAACCCTCTCTCTGTGTATGGAAGTCAAACGTGTAAACCAAATACACTACAGCTCTTCTATACACAGTATAACAGTGTATTTATTCAAGAAGTAAAAATTTTTATCTAAATCAAGCA